CATAGAGATGCGTGCTGATGAAAATCCTCAGACTATTTAGCCAACATGTTGTGTAACCAGACCCATGTGTGATCACCGTTCTTACACACCCAAACTAAGACCCAATCCGGTGAAGCATGGATTGCGGCTTTCAGGCGTTGGCATGTTGCACACATAGCATGCTCTGACCGTCTCCGGAAGCGTAAGCATGTATACCAAGACTTGGCAGTCGTGTAGAACGTGCTTTTGCAGCATGGCTGATGCATGGATGATACCTTGCACCATGCCAAGTACATTAGGAACAGGGATGCAGTGTTTCCTGGAGGCAGCTCTCTCAGGGGCAGCTTGGCGGGGTCCATGTCCATAATCTCTAAAGTGGGCCCCGTCAATTTTCGGTGGATCAGCTTTTTTAGGAGGTCCTCTTTCAAATCCTCATCTTCTCGAGAGAACGCTGCATCCGAAGAAGACACAAACCTGAGATGTGTTTTGCGAAGCTTAAGATTACTGCTAAGATGTGAATCACACACGCACCATAAAGCAAGTTACTTGGTAGGCATGGACTCTGCAGCTGTGTAGTAAAGGTGCCCAAAGAATGTACTCGCTGATGCAGACTGCGTTGCAGAACGGGTTGTTTGACCTAGGTCTCAAACAAGTTGGTTCCATAAAATCCATAAAGGACGAGTTTAGGACCAGGGTAGTTGACCTAGGTCTTGCATCTCATGTTGAATGAAACCCAAATCTTAACATGGTAACTGCTGCCGCAAAGCCTTGGTTGATGGTACGATCATCAATGCCATGAAAGGCCCTCTTGCATCGCCCAAGGCGTTGTTTTCCTATTCCTAAATAACGCAACCACGCCAATCTGCAGACTTTGTATCCTGGGGCATATGCTTGACCAAACAACAACAGATCAACCTATGAGCTCAATGACATTCCAAACAGCGCATGTTGATTGACATACTGTACATGGGGTCCTTCAATGCTCCAAGTCCTCCTAGAAGATCCTTCCTGAACTTGCAATGACCAAAGCAAAGCGTCCTGACTTTGCTTCGGTAACCTCCAGAAGCTCTGACAGGTCTTTTGCAATACCACCAGTGGAACTCGGCACTTGCATTCGCAAGGCGGGTGTTTGGACAAAGAGGAGAGTCTGTCTCGGTCAACCCCATGTGTGGCAAATGTTGATTGATCAGGGCTCTCATTCAGGGTGTGCAAAGAGTTCAATGCAGTTAGGGTCAGGTCCACGCTCTTTGCAGGGGCACGTGTATCCTCATCGTCGGAATCATCAGAGGATTCCGATTCTGCATTCCTAGGATCAAAAGGGACGGAGTATGAGGGAGTCATGAACATGAAGTATCAGGATCAAGACAAGACACCTACAACCAACAGACCTGGCTAAGTCTCTCATCGCTCGAGGTTTCATCATAACGCCACACATCTCCAGCCCGTGTTGCAGGCTGGAGCTCATCGTCACTGGCTTCGTACCGGTGCAGGACTGGCATTGCAGCCCTCTCTCCAACCCAGGGCTGTTCAGGGCTGGTTTGATTTCAACGCGGTTCAGCAGTGAAAAACACGTTCAATATTGAACCAGGGCATGATGGAAATGCATCGTTCTAGAAATTGACTGACTCAAAGAACCTGCTCATCCGGCAAGTGGGCACATCTCCCAATTTTCCGCTCTCACAGTGATATGGTACCCATCAGAACCCCCTATGCCTTCAAATACTTCTTTACTAGACTTGGGCTCACACTCCTAAGGGCCACGGCTACTGCGATCATCACACAACGCATGGCCATTCCATTGCCAGCCATTCCAAACAATTCCTTGGATCCAGTTTCAAAAACACGTGAAGTTTTGGGGGAACCTCAGGCGTGGCTTTTGATGTGCGACTAAAACTCGCGGTCTGTGAAGTTGCTGGTATGGAGAGCATCCACTGGCATTCCATGCAGGATCATGGCTTCGATACCTGAGTGGCGCTGTGGGTTGATAGCGAGGGCCGTTTGAGATCTGCAAGATGGGACAACATGAAGAACCGCCAAGTAATAATGATTATAAGTTAGTTCAAACATAATTTCAGTGGAGCTACCGGTCAGAAAGCGGCTCTGGTGTCCAATGAAATATGATCCATTGGGCCTTGATAGTTGGAAATCAGAGGCAGGTTGATGTTTCCTGTGAAATCATGAATTGCGCTCATGGCGTATGAGAAATGACTTAGAACGGGGCGTTAAGCAAGGCAATGGTTGGTCCTTCATGATCAAGCCCATCCTGTGGATTGCCTGGCTCGTGTTGACAGCAGCCAACTTGCCATGCTTGGCCAGCAGCAGGTCCAAGGCCTTACATGGCAGTTTTGCAGGCAGTATGTCAAATAGCTCGAAGCCACAGATCAAACTAAGCCAGCCTGCATTTCTCTCTGGGTAGTGATTTGATCAACACCCTTTGGATGTTTCTTTGCAAAGCAGCCCTTTGATGATTTCACCTGACACACATGGTTGGGGGAATGAAAACTGATTGGGGGAACTTCGACATGGGCCTTGATGTTGTTCTTTCTCGCCCAAATCTTGTGATGCTTCTTCCATTTGCAGCCATAGCCCGGTGGCCTCCTTAATCGAAACAAAATCATCATGTTTCATATTCCCATTCAGTTCAGAATAATGGTGGACCATCTTTTAACAGCTAAGGGGCTTGGTAAAAAACCTCCGCTTTCTCCTCCTGTTTCGCTTGGCCATGACATCCTGCACCAAAGGGTGACCCTTTTCCAAAAGCAGCTCTTGCCTTAGCTACAGGGACTTACCAAGAACTCTCCAAGTGTTTTTGTTTAACAGTTGCTGTTTCTCATTGGATTCGAAAGAAATGTAGGACAAAGGCACCAAGCCACATCGGGGTCGTGCTTCAACAAGTCGCAAATCTCATTGCAGAACTTGGGAAAGTCTTTTCGGGCTGCACGCACCATGAGCTCCTCCCTCACCAACAGGATGTACACCCGATGGCGGTTGAGCGGCTGACCATAATCTGTCCTTTGATGTAAACATGATTGCATGTTTGTCAACTCTTAATTACGCACTTTCCAACCCATATCACCAAGGCGCCCGTTCAAGTCCAGCAAAGCCATACGATACCTTGGCCGACTGGGGACCAAAATCAATAGGGGAAAAGGATTGTACACGGTTTGTAGCGGTTTCCTCATTCCAAATTACTCTGGTAACTTTTCATGGCAAAGTTGTTCGAACTCTTCCTGCACCCGCTTGAAGCCCTTCACATTCTCATAGAGGGCAACCTAGCACTCACACACTTGAAGTTGTAAAGTCGTCCCTTTCCCTCGCACTCAAAGCCAAGCAACTGGCGGTGCACAAGCAACCGTGTTTTGGAGCACACGATACATGGGTTTGGCCTCCTCTTCCAAAAGAAGACGCGTGTTTGCATGCAAAGCCGAAAAAGCTTTGCAAGGGAATCCGGCAGAGTACAAGAAGACCTCCACATCCAAGGTTTTCCACACGGCTGTCAACATCAAATGTCATGTGCATACTGAATGGCACTGCCAGTGCATGCCTTCTTGTGGAGCTTGTTGAGATTTGTCTTGAAGATATCATCATATGATCTTAGCCATCACGACCATCACACATTGTAAGTTTAACAAACTTGAAAGCAAACTGCGAGGGATTCCATGTTTTGTGAAAAGCATGATGCAAACAAAGTAACCCATACTTGGGTGCTGGGTGGTTCAGCTCCAAATACTGTCTGGCAGTGGCATTCCTCTCGCTGTTGGACCTGAGCGCGTTTCTTTGCTCACGAATGAAAAAGGAAGCGATCATTTGGCGTGTATTGTTAACCAATGATATTTGGAGCTAAGAAGCATGTAAACCACCAACCTTTTCTTGGCCGGTGGAAATAGAAGTGACAAGGTTGTCAGCGGGGTATCCATTCCAGAACCTCAGTGCAGTGCCAAAAATCACAGGACTTCCCAAAGGATGCCATAGGATGAAATCATTTTCATTCCTGCCAAGTGGCAGTCAGAAGCATAAGTGAACTCCCCGGTCCAGTTCTTGAAGAACGACTCCAAGCCTCAGCCAGTTCTTTTTGATAGCAACATCTTGGGCTGTGAAAATTAGAACACACACTGTTTGACTAGCAACCAGCAGCATCATGGATCTTGGATCCACAATAGATGTACTCAAGCTGCTCAACCGTCAAGGACAACGTCTTTTCCTCCCATAGTTGTAACGTGCTTTCATTTTCAAACTTCAACATTCTCTCCTCTTCATCTTCTTCATCAGAAGAACAAAAGCGCCATACCCCCATGGCGCCAACCCAGGGCTGAGCCACCAATGGCTGCCGTTTGGCGGGCCACGAATCAAAGCCCCAGATGCTAATTACAAAAGCCCCAGTTGCAAGTGGAAGTCCATACAAGTAATTCCGTTAATTTCATTGCTAGGTGAAGAGGGTGGTTTTCATCCTGCCAATTGTGATGTGTCCTTTAAGTCATTGCGGGGACTTCCAGATGCACAGGGGGGTCCACGGCCCATGAAGGTCTTCAGACCCTTGACGTCTTCTGTTTCCACCGATGCTTCTGTTTGGGGTGTGCATTCAGCTGCGTTCCAAGAGTTCATGCCAACTGCAAGCTTCTGGTTCCATCCATGCCGAGTGTGGAGAAACTTTGTTCCAGACCTGAATTGGACTCCCAAAGAAAATGAGCCGCTGGTAGGAACTGAAGCAAATCCGGGAAGATCTTACCAACTGAAGATAAACTTCCTCTTTCTTCGCACCGTTGGGAAGATCTTGGAAAAAAGAACCTGACGAAAGGCCGACCCCAAGATGTCGACCGGCGAAGAAAGAGGAGAATTTCCATGTCTTCGTGATGTCAACGTGACGAGGCGAGGCATGGTGGTTTTCATTCGTGGTGCGAATGTTGATCAACCAACCCGCCACCCAGACATGGATGGTCAACCGTTTACAAATAGAACCTCATAAGAACCCCCACCCACCAGGTTTTTGGGCTTCCGGCTTGGCTTGGCTTGGCTTGGCTGAGGCGGCGCCAGGACTCCTCCGAGCCAGGCCCAGTGGCCGGTGGGTTCTTGAGGGTTCTTCAGGGTCATGGGAGAGGTTCGGGCTGGGTTGAGAAGATGTTGGGTCAGTACATCTGCTTGCAGTTCCAGATGTAGATGTACAGTTTCTCCGCTGTTACGGAGGTTTCAAGATAGAAGAAGAAGAAGAAGGAGGAGGAGAAGAAGAAGAAGAAAACAACTGACATGACGCTTTGATGGCGAGACATGGGTGTGTCAACCCATGAATGTGTTTTGGACGCTTTTGGTCTATTTCCTTTCTTCCAGGGTGTCGGAACGCCGCGTGTCGGTTCTTCCTATTGGAGCTGCCAATGCTGAGGCTAATCGCTCTACGGCGGAAAACCTCCAACCGATGGGGCGTGCTGATTCATCACATCGATGGGCGGGTCGATTCGCGGGTTGTTCGGACGTGGAAAAAAACAAAACGACATCACATCACTCACATCACCGGGTCGCCCCCCGCCATCTTTTTACCTGATGTGAAACAGGTTTTTTTTAAATGTTATTGTTTTTTGTTTTCCTTTACGACCTATTTTATAGTTGTATTTGTGGAATGACTGAGTTAGAGGCCAATCGCTGAAGTCAGGGGGATATCACTGGGTGGTGGTTTCAGAGATTGTTGTTTGCAACCTTTGCTTGGACGACTCACACTGTACTTCTTCAAGTCAGTTGAAACCACCAACCAACCCTTTTCATGATTCAGAACGTGGCAACTTCCGGTGTCCACTCCTTTTGCTATAGCGATTGGGGGAAAGGAGCCATTCCGTGCAATTGGGGTCTCATTCCCTGATTCCCTGAGTGGCACCAGTCAGCTTTGGACGTCAATATCAAAAGCTGCAACACCAGGGTGCGTGGACATCCCTGCTAGACTCCCGCCCGAAACTACTGACACGATCAACAGCAAATTGCTTGACTTTGCAAGACTGGAAGCAACGGCGCCTAACAGCCTTTGGAAGCTGTGCGTGCATGAATCGAGGGCGGTTCATCAACGCCATATACTTGAAACACGTTGACACCCTGGAAGTCCTTTGGCACGGCCTGAGTGTTCAGGAAAGTCCCTGAACTGCGGATCGCCGATCAGGGGAGTTTTGGAAGATATTTTTAACAGTGCCGAACAGAGCTGTTTAAACAACTTTCAGACTAACACCATGGCAACAACGAGGGAGGCTCCCGTTTTGGACAACTCCCACGCTGAAATCACGTTGGCTGAAAAACTCTGCTTGCTGTCAGAAAAGGAAGATGGCGCGGTCGTTGCCAGGCAGCCCCAGGATGTGTTGACGAGCTAACGATGACTGTCAAAGACGTGTCTGAGACTTCTTGCAAAGAATGCTTGCAATCCTTGCAGACACCAGCACCCTCTTGACTCAGACTTGGTGAGGTAAGTCCCCATGCGAGGAACATCATGGAACATCCAAGGTGACCGATGAGTAGTCTGAGGCGGCATCGAGTCTCGATTGTTCTGACTTCAGCACCAATAAATCATATTTGTTGTAGGCATGAGCGGTGGATGATGTGGGCAATCCCTGATCAACGTTTGATACAAAAAACCACTGGCCGCTGGGGAGTGGTTGGTCGGATGGAATCCATTTGAGTGAGGAGGGTAGAGGAAAGGACCGCAGGACATGCAGTTGAGACATGGATGGTGAACGTTTTCTTTTTTTCTTGGCTGATGAAACCGAAGTCACAGAGTCCATATTTTTGGATTCTGAGAGGGCCAGCATAATCCAACATGTTGACATGACATAGTAATTACACTGGTTCGATGATGTTGGATGATGTTGGACCGTGAACCAAGGCATGACATGTGATCCTGGATGATCCTTGACTGGTCGAATTTCTCCGGCCTTTTGGTTTGTGACCGCACCTGTGTTTCGTTGGTTTACCGTTGGGCAAACGAAGAGATGTTCAGGGACTTGCCTAGCTATAGGTAAATTCGTGCCTCCACCCGAGCTGTTAAAGCCATTTGTCGTTACACCGACTCTTGCCACCGCCTCACTTCAGCCAAACCGTCCGCGATGTGCGCCAGGCGATCTTCGTGAACACCGCGAGGCACCTGTACTGCCAGCCACCGGGGCTGCAAGAGCGCCACAGGTGGCACAGGTGGCGATGGCCTTCGCGTTCTTCGCACGGAGGTTCACGCCTTTAACCCCCAGGTCTGGGGGGTTCCCCCCCTTTGACCCGGACCACAGATCTGGTGATTTCATGGCATGCTTGAGATCTACACAGAAAATGGCTTGGGACTGGGGAAAGATCCAGAACGGTTTCTGGTTGTTTGGGTTTCCAGGTATAAATACATGGGTCACAGACAAGACGAAAAGCCAGAACCAAGACGTTCAGAACAAGAACCAAAACAACGATAAGAACATTAAGAACGCATAAGAACTATCGATTATTCTTGGTCGTGCAAGAATCCCTTTTGGGAGGTCTTACAATTATTTCAATACAAAACCCTTGCAATGGAAATGCAGGTGAGACTGGTTGTACACCTGGCAACTCCTCCGAGAGACGGACAAAGCGGGGTGCTTCTCAAAGCGGGTCCGAGGCCATTCTTACCCAACTCTGGGCAACCTCCATCCAATCCCCCCACTGTCGCTGAGCCTTCCAGCCATCTTCTGTCATGCCCGGCTCGCAGAGCAACCACTTTGCGCAACCGTCGCCCCCGACCCCAAAACGCGACACGCCGAACACGCCGAACGCGGGGAATCCCTTCCGTTTAGAGGGCCGAAAGCGGAACCCTCCGGCGGGTGCCGCGGTCCTCAGGACGTCCGAGCACGAAGGCGCTCCTCGTTGGATGCCGCCGAGTTGGACTCGCTGGTGCGGACCGGGGGGGGAAGAGCCCGTTGGGGGAGAAGAGACGGAAAGAGACGGTGGGGTTGGCGTTTTTTCATGGTTTGTTTTTAGATGGTCTAAGGGTCCAAAAGGGCTTTTGCAGGGACGGTGCTACAGGCAAGGAGTACAACTAGGGTAAAGCGAACAAAGAAAGTTGGGGTCGTTGCGGTCGCTGCTGGTAGGGAGTGAAAGTTTCGGGATCGAACGAGGAATTTCCTTGCGGCAGCTTAGAGAACGACCCGGCTTTTTGCGTGGCAAGATGGTTGAAGCCAGTGCCTCCGCTGTATCAGACCTACAAAGCAGACCAGTGTTTTCGTCGGCGCATGCAGAGGTTAGCCAAGCAGTAGGAGGGCTCAAGTCCAATCTGTGCTTTTCTCCACGTCCACATGCCTCCTTGGGTACTTCGGGAACTTCCTCCCCTCCCGGCGCACGCCCAAACCTGCCCGAAAAAGCCGAGGGCCCCCCCAAAACCCGACGGCCGTGTGAAGGCATCGACGCAGGTCTTCAGGTCTTAACCAAATTCGCCCACCAATGGGCGTCGCCGGCGTTCACCAGGTGGCAGTGGGCCGGAACACCCTCAAGGAGGATGATGCGGAGGCTGAGGAGGCTGAGGAGGACGCGAACATGGAAAGGTGTAGAAGCGGCGTGGATGGTTGGCGAAGCGAACAGAAATAGATGGGATAATAATATTGGCCCCCCAAATGCCAGTAATTGAAAACTGACATGAAGAGGCATGTAGACTGGAAATCGTGATCGACTTCAGGTCATTGTGTGTTTCTTGCAAACTACGGCAGCTCAAGCGTTTGTGCAGTGCTTGGACGTGAATGTCAATGCCATGTATGACAAGGAGGAAGTCCTGCACTGTGAGACCAGATGGACTCGGGCGCTTGGTGAAGATGTTCACCCATCAGTTGACAGACAAAGCATCACAAAGCTACCACAACTTACCAAGCGGGCCTAGCTTGGTGGTGGACGTGGGTTGTCCCTGAAACCGTCCCCAAAACGTTCCGAGGGGAAATCTGCATGATGGTGCTGCCTCCCTGGCGATCATGTGGTAGTGATCTGCATGGTAGTGTGCTGCCTCCCTGCCACATTTTTGCATCCGGTGCATCCTGCTGTGATGTTCGTTATATAGACCCCCCAAATCCACCAAATAGATAGAAAAGTATAGATCCCCATCAAACATCAATTGGACGGTGCCACTATCTATTTGGGGAAAAATCACTATATGTGTTTCTTTTTTCTGGGTTCCTTGAAGAACTCGCAGGCATCCTGGGATGGGCATGCCATCTCAGCCGAGGTGGTCGATGGAGCAGATCCGAAGCATAAATGGAGAAATTTTGTACTCTACAGGTCGATTGGACCACATCTCACAGCAGCCGGTCATACCAAAAACACTATCTCAAATGAGGTTTGCAGGACCAGGTTTTACTGGGTCAGAGGACCTGTAGGGCTTACGCTTGCTTTGACCGATTGGGTGATAGTCGGACACTTGCGAATTGAAGGAAGCTTCCTCCTGGAGAGTCCCTGTTGTTTCTTCCCGCTTCGACAGCAAAGCCAAGTTTAGGTACCCCAAGGCTATAAAGCTGCTATAGACGTCTTAGATTCACCTCCTACCTGTTCGCCAATGGCCCTCCGCCTTTTTCGGTGCCCTCCCAGGAGCGGCTGCGAAGCCCCACCTGGGTGGACGACTGGATCCATTCGGCCCAGGCCGTGACCGCCACGACGCGTCGTGGCGGAGTGGCTGCTGGTGTTCAATCCCGTTGGATAGGCGAAAAGGGATGGAGAAAGGGCTGTTCAAAGCCTGGTTTCTTTTGGGTAGGTCATCCTCAAATCATCCTCAGGTCAGTGTGTTCCCTCACTGAAAGAAGACAGAGAAAGAAGAACTTTCTCGGTGGAACTGCCAGGGGGGGTTTGGGTTCAGGGGCTGGAACTGCCAGATCGGAACCTTCCAGCCCCCTTTATGGGGTGTTTGAGACTGAGAAGCTGTAGAGCCACGAAGAGGTTTGAGACCTGAAGCATCAGAGGAGGGAACCTGAAGCATCAAAACTCTGGGATGTTCGGAACCTTATGGGTCGAGGAGAAGGTTTGCAGGAACCTGATGGTGGTGAATCCTTCCGCTCGGTCTCTTGAAGTAGAAAGCAAGCCTAAGAAGTAAACCGAAGAATCGATGTTTTCCCAGGTTTTTCTTCTAACCCAGGAAGTATATCGTTTTCGGGGAAATGCCAAACATGCTCAGGAGACGCTCTTGACGGTCCAGGCGCACGGGAAAAGCGTGGAGAGAGACTGGTCCGAGCTTGGTTTCTGGGTATTTGGAAGGCCTTCCAGGAAGGTTTGCAGCATGCATGCTTTTGTGGCTGTGAGTCCAAACCTCCCCACTTCCAACGCCCGGGGTGCCCAGGTGCCATGCGCCCGGTGCCATATGTTCTTGTGCAGTTTGTGCAGCATTTGCGAGAGTTGGCACGGGACAACCGGCACAGGAGTCGCCCTTTGGCGCCAGAAGTGACTTGGAGGTTGTTTGCACACAAAGCAAGTCATAGTGTCATAGTGCCTTGGAGTACAACCTCCTGACTCCTATCGGATTATTTTTGGGTCGTGAGTCGTTGGTCATATAAGGAATCTCCCCCTCAAAGTCACCAAGTCATGGTTCATCCAATTGCAGATGGAGGATTCTCGTAAGGATGCAACAACTGCAAAGAACTGCAAAGACTGAACCCGACTTTCTCTTGTCAAGCGAACAGATGACCGAACGCGCTGACTCGGCGAACCGAGAACAGACAGCGCCACAGATGTTCGGGTCTTCTCTTCACTCAGATGACCCGAACACGCTTGGTTCCAACACTTGGAAGGCCGAACCCACCTCTTCACGATGTTGGGACCTTGCGGTGTTTTTGTTGTTTTTCTTGTGGGTTTTTCTCACCCGGAACCGGGGCGAGCTTGTGTCTGTTTGTCCCGGTTCCTTTAAGCAGATCCAAGATGACCTGGCCTCTCCACTCACTCCACTCACTGCACTCACTGCACAAAAACTCCACTCAGCATGTATGATGTTTTATGCCATGATATTCATGCCTTCATATTCATGTCATGTTGACCGATCCATTCTTCTCCAGGAGATACACTGGACCCTTCTGACCAGTCTCAATTTCGTCAGGGGTGGGGGGCTTGAAACATCTTAGACGCATCCCCCACCCTCCACCTCCTCCACCTGACAGCTGTGTGTACACCATCTCAGCTCTGACAGCACCGCACCATCTCGCGCCAGGAACCTGCCGTCGACGCCCTTCGCCCGGGCGGTGCCGCCGGAGCCGGCGGCGGCGCTTGGCTTCGCGTCGGCAGTGGGATCTCTGGATCGAAGCTCGGAGCAGAGGGAGCATGGAGAGCATGGATGGAGGGCTCCTTCTTTTTGTTTGGTCCAAGTCTGGTATGACTTAGTGGGTTAAAAGAACATGGTTTGACATTGTTTGACATACTTTTAGTTGTTTTTGGTTTAGAAACAGAAACATAATATCATTTGCTGGGCCCAATTCTCTGCCAAGAGCATAGCCACATGTGACCTCCAAACATTCTGTGGACATGATAGATAGACGGACTTTACTCCGTAAACGATGTCCTATTAAGTAAAAGACCTCCGTTACTCAGTGAAAGCAGGTTTTCACTCATATTTTGATGCCCTTGGAGGAGCCACCAAATTTGCTAGTGCCTGAACCTGGGCCGTGACTGTGGCGTGGCTCTAGCGTGAAACGCGTGACCACCTAAACCATGAAGTGTTTGACGTCTTCGACAATAGGCTTTGTCCGTGAAGAACTGTTGGAACGGAGCGTGACTCAGTCGGCGTGACTCCTGCGTAGCGAAAAACCGTCGACAAGGCGATCACGTCAACGAACAAAGCATGGCGTTGCGAAAGGGAAAAAGACGAAGCAATACAGTTAAGCTTATGAGTGTACTACCATGTGACCGACATCAGTATATTTGTATGATTTCCCGACCTTGAAGTTTTTGAAGGTCAAAATTGATGCGACCTCGTAAAGCTAAGGTCATTTGCAGCAGGGCCTCGCAAAACTGACCCTTTCTGACGTGGATGGGTATATTATACACACATATTGTAGTTTGTAATGTATTGTGTATACGATTGTGGTGCTTCTGTGCAGCACTGTGCGCCCTCTTGTTTTTCTCGCTTCGGCACCAGGAAGGAGCAGCCCATGGTGGCGATGATCGCTCTCCAGGCAGATGGCGCTGGCAGTAAAGGCACGTCCCACCGCGACGATGCGCAGGGCGCGGGCGCGGAGGCTTGAAGAAGGCACCATGAGCACAGGAGCACAAGCAAGAACGAGCGGTCCAAGGCGGTCAAGACTAGTGGCAAGCAGTGTACTCTTTGCAGAAAAGGGGTTTCGAATGGAAGACTGGGCACTGAACACCCAAACACCGGGTAAAGGGCACTGAACACCCCTTTGAAGGTCCAGGAAGACTAGGAGGTCCCAGAATTCTTTGTCCTGGCTAAAGAGCCGTCCTGAGCTAAAGAGCCTCAGGCAGCTCCAGACGCATGCGCGGCTCCAAACCGATCTCCAGCCAAAAGCGGAGAGAGAAGGTGCGGCACAGACGCGCGGCATGCGAAGGTTTTTTGGTACAGTTAGGATTAGCAAAGAGAGGGAATGGAGGGTTCTCGATGCGTGTGTCTTGTGTGAAGCACATTGAAACTTCCAGATAGCTTTCTTGCAGTTGTTGCTTTCATTTCTCGCTTCTGACACGAAGATTTCATATGTCATGTGGCGCATCACCTCACTCAACGGCATGGCGTGGAATTCCAAGTGCAGCACGCAGGTGGTCGAGAGTTTGCGGCAAGTCAATCGCTCTCCTTTTAGGGGCCTTTTGGGGCCTCGTGGGAGAAAAAGAACCAGATGAACCACACACAAGTCACAAGTCACAAGTTCTTTTGATCGATCAGTTTTGGTGTTCTTCTTTTTAAGTGGAAGTTTCATTCCGAATCATGGCTAGGCATCGCGTGTTCAACAACCTAGGCAAATGCAAACTGGACCTCCTTTCTCCTCACAGTCCGCACACTCGAAGCCGTCGGAGGGAAGCCCACGGATGGTTGGCTTTGAGCCGGTTCCGGCGGTCAGGCTGGGGTGACGCGGTGGTGGAATTGAGGGTTTAGGGGTGGGTTGGATGCCCTTCCAGCCATCAAGAAGGTCATTTACCACCATTCTTCAATGGTCTTTGAAGATATAACCTTTGAAGGCTAGGGGATGGTTTTGGAGTACTTCTGGTGAGAAGTGAGAAGTACTAGGAGTTGGCTTGAAAAACCTACAATAATAGTGTTCTGCAGTGAACTTTTCGACCAGGGTCAGAAGGGGACACTTTATTTTTGCATCTGAACAATGGCAAACAACACTAGGAGGTTCCAACGGTTCTCTTTTTTTTCCAGAACCACATGCTTTAAGAGAGCGGGCTTTCTGTTAAGACTCTTGAGCAAGTGTGTTCTGTGGATCACAAGTGTGTTCTGCACCCTTTTCCTGATCGGGGTTGGTCAACATTGACTCATTGCTCTAGAGAGTGCAGTACGACCAAGCGGTGTGCCGAACCCAGCTGATGGGTAGGCCACAAACTGTTCATTGTCAAGTAAATATCTCGTACCTTCAATAAGTTTATGGCCACCCTCGAAACCCACTCTGTTAGCAAATATCCTTGGGCTTTATCCTTGTGGTGATCATTGTGATCATTGGGCTTTTGAAGAACCTGGTATTCAGGGTCATTTTTGGCGGGGGTACAGGTTCCTAGAGGTCCCTATACTGACCATCATCCTGCGAAGAAGAGGACGTTTCGTGTGGCCGAGGCAAGTCCCATGGACCACCTCCTGTTGCCTGTTAGAAGAAAAGCCCATCCAACGGGCAATGTTCCAAACTCATGGTTATTGCATGGAGAGTCGTTAACCTGATGTTGTAATCTAGAATCCTTGGACTAAACAATGATTGTTCGGGATCATTTCGGGATCAATACGCCGTGGGCCGGGTAGACTGGTCTATTTTCACTTCTTCCAGGGGGTCGTTGCCTGGTAGGTCTCCCTATTTTGATGCACACAAATACCTGGATTTGACCTGTCTATGCCAGATTTCTGCCTCACTTGGCTGGTTTGGGGATGAACAGGAAGATGGTCACCGACCGGTCAGATCCATGGTAACCATCTGGTATAGACTCTTGATTCATAAGCCCTCTCGTTTGAATTGGAAAGCCTTTTTATATGGAGGGTTTATGAATCAAGAGTCTACATTTCTTTCGATATAGACACCCCCTCGGTGCCTCAAAAACTTTGTCCTGCTGAGATTCCTCATGGGTGCGCCGCCTGGATCTCTGCCCAGGCGGCGCGACAGCGACGCGGTCGAACGAAAGGAACCGCTCAGCCAGGCCGGACGGACAGCATGGGGAGAGGTGGACCGCATGAGGGAAGCCAGGCGTGTGACGTATGTATGTGAGCGGTGTGGAACTTGCACACCCAAGGAGAACAAGGAAAAGGTGCCGAGTTTTAAGACTTGGCCATTGGCGGATTCTGGATTCAGGATTCATCGAAGGTGGCAAACCCGTGTTCGACCGAAGGTGTTCCACCGAAGGTGTTCCACGTTCTGCCCAAATCCACTGAGCAAAGCAGGAGATCTTGGCCATTCTTGGCCACTCCCATGACAGTTCACCAGCCTGGGATGGATTGAGTTCTGTTGTTTTTTAACTTCTGCGGACATCCTCTTCCAGTGGTTTGTTACTCAACATGTTCCTTCATATGTCTTAATGATTGAAACCACCATGAAGACTTTGGAGTGAACAAAAAACTTCATCGCTCCCTTCCTGCCGGGGGCTTTTCTCCCCTTCCACTCACTATAGCGCTTCCACGCGTCGCGCGCGCCCGGCAGGACGCGTCCGTTCCAGCTGCGGCCGCGGAGGCGGAGGCGGCGGAGGCCGCGGCGCTTTCCTCCGCGGCAGAGGTGCTACCGGAGCTGCGCCGCGTCGGCAGGGAATTCGGTTGGGAGGACGGTCAGACGGAGCGACATGATGAAACTCAGTAGTCATACGGGCTGAGCAGGGTGGGCTATGGTGGGCTGTGGTGAGAGGATTTTGGGGGTTCAGATCCGCAGAATGGACGGCCTGAAGGGAGGGGGATCTCGTCATTTTGCTTATATCATCATCGTCGTGTTTTTCTCTTCAGCTTTCTCAAGCAAGAGCTTCAAGGACTCATTCTCCCACTCAAGGGAATCTCATGACTCCCTCAAGGCTTTTGAAGCTTCCGCCAGCTGGAAACAGGACCTCCCGTTCTGCTCCAACATAGGCCCTGAGGGGCCTGGCCTCAGCTTAGTTCGGGCATCCTCAACCACTCTTTGACGAACACATCACATGCAAGCTGGGTGTGTATTTGAAGAGGAGGACCTCCCAACCAATGGATTTCGTTCGTTTTTATCTTCCCAGAGGTCGACCTGAGGAACATGGAAGACTCCCATTGGCGCATAGCCATCCACTTCTACGGGTGCTGAGTGTGCTGAGTGTGCCTCAACATACCTCAACCACCCATTTTCCAACGGCGGCGGTCGAAGTGACGGGGCGTGGGGACTCCCTGGAAAGCCAGTCTCAACCAGAAACCTATACCAGCACCCTCCAACAGGCTGTTAGTTGAGGGTTGTTGGACCCTAACAGGTCTCAATTGGTGACCTGTCGGAGGGTCCTGGTATGTTTGTTTCAACGTTTTTCAACATGTTTCGGTTTTGTGGGGATGTAAGATGATGTAAATGTGTAGAGATTGCAAGGACCCGTAGGATCCATCACGAGGCAGAAATTCCTTGTTTGGGAGATCCATCACGAGGTGCTCGAGGTCCTAAGCCTGGACCTTGAGTTGAGGACCTGGTCTCATCTGGTCTCCGAATCGATCAACTTCCAAGGGCAAAAAAATAAGGGCACAGGAACATGTTCAGGTTGTTCCTGTTCCTCAATCTGAGCTGGGTGAATGCCTCAAAGGTTGAAGGACCCTATAGACTATCCCAGTTGGGTACCCCAGGTTTTCCGGGTCCTATTTACGGTCACTGGCTACCCCTCTTGGAATGCCTCAGCTACATTCGGTCCTTCGCTCCAAGGTCCCAAGAGGCCGTGGTGATGCCGGTGCCGGAGGAGCCGGCGGAGCCGGAGGAGCCGGAGGCGCGTCTACTTGGACGGTGGCGCTTCACGGTACTCCATGCGTTCAATGCGTTCAATTAGGACAGAAGACAGAACAGGACAGAACAAAGAAAGGTGTGTCCTTATGAGAAAAAACACATCCTCCATGTTCCTTCATGTGTTGCCTTTCCTGTCGTCTATCTCTATGACTCTATGCTATCTCTATGACTCTATGACGATTTGACTACTTATTTTCCTGGCTTCTATCGCTTTCTTAGGTGTTCTTTCACCGCTGCTCTTGTTCTGCACCCCCATGAAGACGCCCTTCTGCACACCGAGGTACAAGTGGATGAGCTGTTGGATCCCGAACGCAGGCGCGTTTTTTTTCTGCTTCGGGATCCCAAAAACTGAACTACACGCCGTCAGCTTTGGTCCTTCCAAAGTCGCGCGTCGCATCGAAGCTCCGCTCGAAACTCTGTCATCGGCACAGCGACGCTCGGCGAAGTCTTGGAGAGTGGCAGGTGTGCAGCAGATGAGTCGGAACCTCACCGCCCCGCTCTTTTCTCTGTTGCTTGTTTGTTGTACTGTGGTTTTCCGGAGTATGGAAACAGCAAGGAGGATCCCTCTACCGCCGGGCGCGCCCTACCGCGCTCGGAGGCCCTCGAGCGCGGTGAATTCGGAGGTGACCTCGGAGGAGCTGACAGGGTCGGAGGAAGGGTCGTCCACTCGGCGGAGGGGGTTGGTCAGGTTTTTCCTGCGATGGACACCCGAAATATGGAGTCCTATAGGGAGTACAGTGGCGCTGCATCACCAAATCCAGCCCAAATGAGGTTCTGAGGTTCTTGAGCTGTAGGGAGCTGTAGGGTGGGTGGAGCAGCACCAAAAATCACTGACCAAAAGTGTTTTCTTCTTCTCGAAGTACATTGAAGGCACCCTTTTCCAGGTTTTCGCACAGCAGATTGCTTCAACACTGCTTCGCTTGAACACCGATGTGGTTTCATCTCATGGAGCTCCGGGACCTCGCGTGTCGAAGCGCCCTAGCCGCTTCGCCTCCCGTAAATCATGGGTTAAGTGGAGTGAACACGGACCTGTTTGTAGAGCCAAATGGTCATCCATTCACGTCACGGCTGATTTCAGGGAGCGTAAAGGGAGGTGTTCAAGCACGAAGACCAGCCGATTGTGAAGGAGGAATGCTTTGGCGTTGTCGTCCGGACTTGGGGCCAACGTGCCATCCACCGAACCATGGACGATTTCAGGGAGTCATGCCAACGTGGCCATTCCGATGAGCGTTCGATGTCGATCGGTGGAGTTGTTGGGAGAAATGGATTCCGTTCGTTCAGGTGCTGCCAGATGGATCTGATTAATCCATATTAATCCTTCTTTTTGCATCGTCAGCAGGGGTAGATGCAGACCTGGATCTTCCAATTGTACAGAATCAATGGCCTTTTCATGTAAACCAGCCAAGTTGGGCAGAATGTTTGCACAGTCGGAAGATCTAGGTAAAAGTCGTCTGCTGCTGATGGTCCAAAGGTGGTGAAGACATGTCGCAGGTCATTTCCAGCCTGAATAGTTTTGGTTCCGGCGATGCTGCACTCGTGAAACTGAATGCTTCTGATCAAACACCACATGCCTCAGGGGATATGTTTCACAAAGTCATACAACATGCATTGAAATTGCATGGAGATATCTGATTGCGATCCCCCATGATATCCCATGATGAAAGTGCTACTTTGCCGCCCTCCTCAGACCCGTTTCAAAAACAGGACGAGGAGACCATGAGGCGCCGCCGGGAGGAGCAACGCCCACAAGGCCTTCGGGAGAGTGATGTATATTGGCGGGAAAGGTCGATGCGGTGGTTGGTGACCTGTAGGAAGGCCACCTGGGGTTCAGGAAGGTTCAGGGAAGGTGTTTCCATCTTTCACCTACTCTTTTGCGGTTCCAACTTTGGAGAATTCTTCAACGGAGACCGAATTATCCTGAAAACAGCGCCGTTTGCACTGGCGAACTGGATTGAAACTCCCGCAGTTCCTCAACCGGCTCCAGCGGTCTCCGCTTAGACGGAGTGACCGACCAAGACGAGAGCAGACGAGAGCCGGTTGGGGGGGGGGTAGAACACCGCCTCGGAGAAGGGGTCTTGGGTACCGACAGAGGTTGAAGAACCCATAAGAACCCTATAGACTATCCCATAGGTACCCCAGGTGACGGGTCCTAGTTCAGGTCACTTAACCTCTCTTGGGTATGTTCCACTCTCTGTTCTAAGATCGTAGGAACATGTAGGAACACCGGCTGCCGAAGTTCAAAAACTGTCGGAGCCCGCAGAAAGTCGAACATCTCCAACGAATGTCTCGCGTGTTTCTCTCAGCCAGCAACAAACCGTTTTAGTTCTTGGAAAGGCCGGGTAGCCGGACCTGTAGTTCGACCAGTTGAACGGCGGAAGCCCCGCAAATCACAGCGGCCGCTTTTCTGTTATTTGTGAAGACATTTGTTTGTATCATTTATTCTGTATCAAACCCAAATGCCAACAGCTGTTTCTGATTCTAAACAATGGTGCCCCCCCTAAAAGATAGGCTTGAATGTCCAATGCTGTAAGACAGGAGTTGTATCATGATCGTTGTTTGATTTGGATCTACCTTGGGGATCATAATATATTTATGTTACATAGAGTAATTACATGGGAAAATGACCACGAACATCCATATGGAACACACTTGGGAGGAAACACACGCAGTTCCCTCCTCCGTCCAAACACTGTCGATCTTTCTCTTTATCCAGCATGTTCGACATTGTTCGACCCGGTCGCATGAGCCTTTGTTCGATCCTGCTGCCGGCGAGGCGGACTGGTGTTTTCTCTCTCTACATCCCATCCCCCCCAACAAAAAATGGATAAGTGTAAGCAGAGAAAGCAGAGAACTCCATCCCATCCCCCCACTTGACTGGTGTGTCAACAAGCAAACCACCAGAGAAAGTGTAATCACGCGGGCTGCGCCGAAAAGCGCGTGCGTGCTCTACCCTGCGCGCCAGGCGAGCAGGAGGACGGCACCTCTTCCTCGGGCGTCCGAAGGACACCGTCGAAGACGGCGCTGGGGAAGAGCTATCAACGCTCCAAAGGTGGGGATTTAGGTGGGTGGATGGATGGGGTATCCGAGTAGAAGTCATAGTTCAGGGACCTTGACATGATACCTGCGCAACCGCATCTCACAAGAACATGCACGGTTGCCGCTCCGGTAAATTCCCCCAGGCAGAAGAAACAACCTTGTTTGTCCATGCATAACCGAACGAACTGAGTGGGGAGTGGGGAACAGGTGGCATGGGCGTTGAGACCTCTAGGTTTCAGGCCTTATCTCTGGATCTCATGACCTCTACACCGTCTACACCTCTCAATTTCAAGACTTCTTGGGATCTAAGACTTCTACACCAGAGCTCCAGCTCTACACCGACCTCGACCTTGGCCTGTAAATCTTTCTAGACCACCACAACAACAGACTTCTAGACCCTCCTGGATCTCAAGACCTCTAGACATCTCTAGACCTTTGCATCCGACCTCTGTGGCGTCTAGTTTTTTTGGATCTTAAGACTTGCAAGACTTCTCAAACTCAAGACCTCTTCACCTTGAGACCTCTAGAAAGCCTCTAGACCTAGAGCTTTTGGGTCAAGACCTTTGCACCCTCTACTCAACCTAGAAACCTCACACCTTTACTTGCAACTAGACCTCACCCCTAGACCTCCGGATCTCTGAACCTCTTTTTTTTCTATCGACCCATGGAGATCTCAAGACCTGGGTGACCTTGAGACCTGAAGGTGTCTAGGCCTCAAAACCAGATCTCTAACTCTAGATCTGTGACCTCAAGATCTGGATGTCTCCGCAAACCTCGAGACGATGTCTCTCGACCTGGTCGGACCGGAATCACGTTGGATCTGAAGAACGACCTGGTCGGACTCCGACAAGAACCTCGTTGGATCTCTCTGGAACCCAATACGTCTAGATCACTAGACCTTCTGCTGCTGAAAAACGCCTTTAGACCTGGTCGACCTCTAGACCTTGTTTGGCGTCTCTTGCTGGGACAGCTTTATATTTGTTTATATATACCTCCAGACTCGTAGCTTTCTTGATTCAACCCCTGCCTGCTCTTGGCCATGTTCCTTTTTTGAGTTCCAGAGCAATGCAATGCAAGACAACCCAGCAGTTGGGCATGGGCTATGATGATTGGCTTACGACTAGTCTGGCTCGCACAGATTTGCTCGCCGCTTGCGCAAGCGGCAGGTAGCAAGATGGACCTACTCCTGCGCAGCATCTCGACGTCATGTAGGGGCTGTTCTTCAGGAAGTTCTCAGCCTGGAAACTTCAGTTCCAAACAGAAACCAAATCTGGATCGAACTCCCCAAACAACAGTCACTTCCTATCATGTAAAGGATTGAGCATATTGAGCTATCGAACAGATTGCCCTCGCAACAAAAGCCGCTTCTGGTTGGGACTGGCTTGCCGGACGGGTTTCTACGCTTGATTTTCCCTGCAAAGTGCTTCCCCTTGCGGAACGTTTCGCGAAGGTTGTTGGTTTTCGCTTTGCTGAAGTCTCTCGTTGAGTTCTGAGACTTGAAGAATTGGTTCAACAGTTGAGGCGAAGACTCCGGCTGAAGAATTGGCCGAGAAGTCCTGCGCCGGCACCCCATGACATTGGAACAGGAATTCTCTTTGTTTGGAAAACCCTGCCAAAGTTTGGAGTCGAAACCATCAACTGCGGTGTTTTGTTTCGTTTGATTGTCAGCTCCAAGAGCATGAAGTCCTTGAAAAACTGCAGGTCGAAAGGGACCCCGGGAGGGGCCCGATGTGTCCTGTTTCGCAGGTTCCGCCCACTGTTCTACGTAGCGAAACGGAGGGTCGAGACAGCTGGTACTTCGTCCCGCAACGGTTAAGGCCGCTCCTTCTTGTCCAGCAACAGCCTGATGTTGGACGAAGACGAGGAACCAGGCGCCGCCGGTTTCCGCGCCACGCGTAGTGTTACGCGTAGTGTTACGCGCCCGCGTGGTAAGCCAGGGGCGGGTCAGCTGGTAGCTGGTGGCCAGGTGAAGCAAACCGCTTGATCAGAGGGGTTTTCCGAGCTGGGAGGGGGTCCCTGTGTACTCTTCAACATGCAGATTGCAGGGGGAAGTCTGGGGAAGTCTCGGGAGTCTATGTCAACAGGGCGAAAACTCATGACTGGCCACTCTGTCCTTTCCAGTGAATTTGAATGCCTTTTGGCCTTGTTTTCGAAAGAGGTGCCCCCAAATCTTTTCCCTGTTTCCCAGACAGTTTCTAGATGGGAAGCCTGGTCCCAAGCAAAAACCCAAGATGGTTTGTCCTAGTGGCGCTGGGGAGTTCCATGACATGGCTGAGGGGGGTTGGGAACGGGAAGTTTCATGACATAGCAAGTGGGTGGGGGCCTCGAGTTTCAGGAGGTTGTGAGGTCTCAAGTCCCTGGTGCCTCCCAGGCTGTCCAAATGGTCCCTTCCTGCCTCCCTGGTGTCTCCTTGGTGCCTCCCAGGCTGTCCAGTCAAGGAAGTGTTCACCCATTTTTGAGACCAAGGATGGTGAAAGACACCAATTCCAATTGGATTCCCAAAGGCAAAGAAGACTCCCAAGCCGGTCGAACGCGATGTTTTTTTGTTTTTATATTAAGCGTCCACGCAGCTGTGTTTGGCTTGAGTCCATGGATGTTCCAAGAGCAGAAAGATGGAGAGCAGGTCAGTTACATCACAGCTCCATGTCCATACATAACTACAGGCACTTTGTTAAGATAGGTTCTTCTGAGCAAACATGAACACCAATTAAGCCTTGTCCTTGCCCTATGACTGATCAAAATGAGTGCAGTCCTGATTAGTGCGCCCTGGTATTTCTCGATGCCCGAAGTAGGGCTATTGTCATCATATGATGTTATCGTATTGCTTCAGGTATGTAATGTTATGTCAGTTATTATGCTATGCGATGTGTAGCCTTGGAAGTCCAGTTTGACATAGTTTGACCATATTATTTGGCACCGACAAAGTAACTTGCATTCCTGAAATTGCATCACCTATAGCCTATAGGAATGTTTTTACTTGGGATCCATTGCCTTATTTCTCTATACTTAGGCTATATATGGCTATATAATAAGACAATTGGATATGGATGTTCTGGTAACCCGCAATGACTGTACTCTATGCCAAAGACTGCCAAAGAAATCGTCCAGAGTCCAGCAGAGTGACCAGTCGCAACACCACCCCCCACCCCTTCAGGAAAAACCGATGCTGCTTTTCTTTGAACACCAAACTCCATCCTTCTGGCCGAGTGTTCTCCCGAGTACGAAGCAAACAACCTGAAAGAGCCAAGCCTTCGCCTGGGCGTCATCTCCCAGTTTTCCGACCTTGAAAGGCCGCGCTTTTCCACGGGGCACCCGTTGTCCGCCGTTTTCCGCCTGCTCCGCCCTGCCGCTTGAACCAGCGGAGCGTGGCGCGGGGCCATGCTTCCGATGGCTCTAAGAAGACGAAGCGGTCTTGGCAAGAAGAGATCTCTGCCGGTGGCGCTTCTGCTGAGTGTTCCTTGTTGCAAACAGGTGATCGGTGATCTATTTGAGTTCAGAACGAAGGATGGAGATGTTGTACCATGTAGTGGTATTTTTTGGGAAAGTCGCACACCGGTGATGCCCACCACACCTTCTATTTTTGGCATGTCAAAGATAGCCAAGCTTCGGAATGTTTTAGCCTTCGACACCCATCCTCCTAGGGGTTTGGGTCAAGAAGACATTCTTACAAAAAGGGTTTGTACCACTCCGGTGCACGCACCAGCTCTGGTGCCACATGGCGGAAACCACCCTTGAACCACTCTGAAGATAACACTCTGAATCGATGGTCGGTTCTTCGATGCCGAGAGCACGGTCGCCCAGGAATCCGGTTGGTCACAGGAAAGACCTGGGAGGACTCGGCGGACTCGGGTGATTCTTTACGTTTCAACATCTTTCCATCTCTGGGTTTTCATCCCCCACAACCTGGGGAGTATGTGTTAGTCTTTCCCGGCTTCCGAATCAAATCCAAGGTCGGGCGGGGAAGACCACGCAACAAAAATATGCTTATATATAGAGGATTGCTTTGAACACTTGGGTCCTGGGTGTTCCGTTTAATGTAGACTCTTGATGAATAAAGCCCCCTACAGGAAGAGGTCTTACAATTCAAATGGGGACGGAGTGCACTATTTAAGATCCAGCGTTACTGTTCAAGCTTAGTTTGCCAAAGAAGGTCAGTTTCTAAAATGTTAGGACTTGGGAGACAAAGCGTTCATTTTTTCCCATCAGATCCGAGCGTGTCCCGGGCCCGGGCAAGACGAGACATGCCCTGCCGAGAAATGCCTATATTCTGCCAACTGGAAGATTTCCGGGAAGGGGGGCGCTCTGCGGCGAGCACCAAGTACCGCGCCTGCCACGCAAATCACACACGGCAGGGCTGGGCAAGAAGAAACGCTCAGGGGTCCGAGGTTTGGAGGCAGCAGACATGACCAAATAGGACAAATGGACCCACCCCCACACAGCTGGACAGTGGACTGGTTGAGGTGATGTTGGCAGGCTGGCTCCTACAAGATCCTTGGTCTTGGGATGTCTTGGATGGTCACTTTTGTTCGAAGTTATTGTGCTTAAAAAAAGGAAGGGTTCAAGCCACAGCTCTACTCCCATAAAAGGTCCTTGTTTGGTTCTCTAAGACGGGGTAATCATCGATGTTCCCCATACTCGCCCCTTCCACTCCTCGAGGGAATGGGTCGTCCACTCCTGGAGTCGATTTTGACAGCTTTCCATGCATCCGAGGTCGTGTTATGTGTGTTTTTTCAGCCATTTCTACCTGAGCTATCCAGCACTGTGACCTTGCTGCCAAATGGGTGTGTATTTTAATAGGAGACTGCTAGTATGCCTGCTAAGGTCCCCTCTTAAGACCAACACATGGCTCCGGCTGTCAGCTCAACATGTTTGCACTCATCCGATGGACAAAATGACGATGCTATCAGACATTTGGTAAACCCAGGATTGGTTGAGTACAAAGATGTTTGCACTTTAGTAGCCTTTATACCTTTTTCCTACCTGATCTACCAGTACTTGACCTATCCCAAGTCTTGTTTTTTCCCAGATGGATTCCACATCCTTTTTTAAGACTTTTTCGTGAAGAAATGGCTAGACTCCTGACACCATTCTGACACCCCACATTTATCACCCCGTAGCCCACCACTTGTGGAATTTTGAGTGGAGTTCTATGGATTTGTACTGCGGCCTTTGGGGGGTGCTCTTGACAAGGTCTCCGTGCTGAAAAAGTACGCGCACACAAGATGATCTCGTTCGCCTTCGAAGACCATCTTTTTACACAAAAATGGTGTCTCAAATCCTTCGCAAAACTGTCGGTTCTGTGGGAAGACCCAATCTCTATATATATATATAATATATACCTATGTTTTTTTGGGTCTCCTATGACCTGTAACAGTCAGTAAACAATTTTCAGAACAAGGCCTTTACGAACCGCGGCCGCGGTCATCCACTGTTACAGGGAACAGGATACACGCAATATGGCAATACATATATATATATATATATGCTACCCCGATTCTCTGGAAGTACTATTTAATCTGAATTCTTGTGAAAACCAAACAAAATGCTTCCACAACTAGTCTGATCTCTGGACTAGTTGCCAAATCTCTGCTTTGTTTTTCTGTTTTTTGGTTTTCTCAAGGTTTTGGTCTGATCGTGGTTCACTTGGATCAATCCTGAGTAATTGCATTCTATTCACAATCAAACATAAAGAAAAAAGGCACAACTTTCAACTAAAGAAAAACGGCGCAATTTTCAACAATAGGAAACATAGGAAACGGTATTTTCAGGCTCAGCCAGTAAAATTAGGTCAAATCCGCTAAGCTAGCAACTACAGCGCGGTCCTTTTTCACCGTGAGCTGCAACGCTGCAAATCGGCACCACACGTAAAAGGCCTAGCATTATAAGGTGATATATTCCTGACGCTTCGCGTCGACCGCCGCCCACACCTTCTTTTTTTTTCGGTCGCCTGGGGAAAGACTGCTGGAGTGGACAGGGGAGGTCGGGAGTGGTGTCCAAAGAGATGGCTTGTTTGCCGCAGCGTCGCTGAGTTACGCACAAGTTCGCTCGTTGGGTGGCCATGTTAAAGCCAATTCAGGCTCCAAGTTCGACCGTTTTGTGGCCTTGCCCCCGCTTGGTTAGTCCACATTACATCATGTCAAGGCTAGCTTGATCGTTTGGTGACCCTGTGTTGAGGCTACGCGTTTGCAATAATGCTGGTTATGCGTTGCTGGTCAGGAAGGTTTTCAGCATCGTGGGTGTCCGTTTTTTTGGCTTGTTTGGGTTCTTGCAGAATTAGTCCAAAAATGTACATCCAATAATGCTTGCTGGTCAGGAGGGCTTTTCAGCATCGTGGGTGTCAGTTTTTGGCTTGTTTGGGCTCTTGCAGAAATAGTCCATAAATGTACCTCCAAAACGCTCTCCCCCATGGCCCTCGAGGCGTAAGACGTTTTTCCCCGAAACAAAAGAAAGAGGCCCCCCCGCAGAGCTATGAACTGATTACGATGTGATGATTGACTGACGATGATTCCAGCTTGACCCGCCCCTAACACGCCCTGCACCGCAAGCGGTGTGGGCGGATTTCAACACCCCCCTTTGCTTTCACTGGCGACGCGTGAATTAGCAGCTACTGCAGATGGGCTTAGCATTGCTGCCAGCGCGGCACTCTCATTGGAGGCACTAGCAACGCTTTGCGCCATGCTGCACTGCAGTCATGAATTTAGCCACTATAGGTCCACCAACGGCCATCGCTTCCGCATGCCCACCACTCACCATTGTGGTAAGTGTACCTGCCCCATTTGAGGGTCCGTGGGCAGCAGCGTGAGCTGTGCGGGCATCGTGCACTGATTTTGCCTTCGCCTTTGGAGGCGCTTTGGGCGGAGCGTTGACTGAG